CCTCCACTCATTGAGTGTGAGTGTTTTTTTCTCACCAGGATTCAGGAAAGCATAAGATAGTTATAACATACCTTCATTATAAGTTGTAGGATGTATTCGTACTGCTTCCATTGCTGTTTCCCTTCATGCTGAACATATACTAGCAATGGCTCATGTCTGCATTGTATTGTTTCATCTGGCTGCTGATCCGTCTGGGGTTTTTTTATTAAAATTTTTGCCACAAGAACATAGTACATAAAAGACAGTCACAGTAACAATTTACATATGTTTATGGATATATATACAAGAGGAATCACTATATTGCGTGCAATTTCCGGTGGTGGCGAGGCGACCTCAAGAAACCATAAGGTTTATAAGAAGAGGTCCCCTCGTGTTATTACTTATGAATATATAGTTGTAGATATAGTTTTAATAAGACAAGATAATTACAAGAAGATACAACAATTTACATTAGATAAACGCAGATGTGAAAGATGACCAGTTCAGACAAACTTAATTTAACAGCAGATCATTAATTCTTTTCTTGAAACATGACAATAATTAGTTTTGTAATGAGGAAATATAACAACATTAACATTAACATAACCTGTTTACCACAATTAAATCCGTCTTGATGTTTCGTATAGAAGCTCGATCAGCAGAGTATTTGCGAACCCTCATCACTTTTGATTCCAGCTTCAGTTTTGAAATGATTCCACTGACCAATAGCATCATTCAAAAACATTTTCGTTGCATACCTTTTCACGAAATGTTCTTTTCGATTTCCTGGTTGGTTTTGGACCAGCATTAGAAAGATTTGCCTTCGAAGTGGATGACTGTAACTCTTGCGAGTCGGCCATTTTCAACTAGTGTCTCATATGAGCGCGCATATCCGAATAAGGACTGGGGAGCACACAAAATCAAAACAAGTGTGCTCACATTTGTTTATATTTTTTACACATGCGCAGAAGGGACTGTAATCTAGCTTTAAACAAGCTAATAGTGATATCTTTAAACGCAATATTTTGTTCAACAACACACAACTAGTTCGACCAGGTTTTGTGCAAGTTCACACCATTTGAAATACAATTTTAAATACATTAGTTTAACTAAGCTGCAGCCCCCCCCCCCCTCCCCGTTTCCTACGCCTATCAATACAAATGTGCAGCTTACCTTGTATTGTCACAGAGCTTACGGAGTACTTCTTTATTCGTCACAAGATATGGATGTCGGTGCAATGTTTCTTGAACGAGCTCCTGGAAACAATTCTGAACATGGACTGAATAATTTTCAATTTCTTTGAATTCTTCAATAAGACGAACAGGTTCTTCGCGTAAGAGGCAATTGAAGGCATTTTCGCACAAGTGCTGGATAAGCTTATCATTTGAAGAAATGTGTGTGCAGGATATTAGAATGTCAACTGCCTCAAATGTTCCTTTAATTCTCCCACTGTTTTTACCGCTTGAGTGTGTTTTCGTTTCCACCCAGGAATTGCAGATCTTGACTTTTTCAGTAGTTGATAGTTTTGTAAACCTTTTGTCGTTTAATAGTTGAAACAATAGATCATCATGGCTCGCTGACGATGATTTCGATAGATCTCCAAGAAGATAGTAAAACCTTTCATCTGTTAAACTCTCCGAAATTAGGTGAAAAACAGCATCCATATCCTTGGGTAAAGGTTCATCAACATTGTCAATAAACTGCTGCACATATTCGTAAATCAGGCCAGACATTTTACTACGAATGTTCTCAGGAAGTCTATTCAGATGTTCCAGTTTTTCACCAAGGTTGCCGGTTTTACCATTCAGACAATCTTTGTAAAACTCAATGAAGAAATATTCTCTTTCGCGTTGCGAAGGAAAGAAACGGCGCACATCTGGATTTTGGAACATTTGAAATAGGACATCATCATCAGTAGCAAATTGCAGTATACGTTCTAGGAACGGCTTAAAGAAAGAACCTTCGTCACGTTTTACTTTTCTGATGCTAGGCAGAGTGATAATCATTAAAGAAAACAATTTGAAGAAATCTTCTTTGTTATATTCGCATCGCTCCATTTTTACGCTTAGAATATACTGCATTCCAAAGAAGTGCCTAAAATATGCAGCAAATGTAAGCCATCCTGGATTACTACTGCCTTGGACCAAGGTATAAGCACTTTTCTTGAGAAGATGCAAGCAATTTTCAGGAATACTAAAATTTCGTTTAGCACAGTTTGCAAGATTTTGAAGCAATTTATCAAATGCTTGTTTCGTTGTTTCATCTTTAGGTAAAGGCAAGCAGTATTGCTCCTTAATTGGCACAATGTAACCTAAAGTAGCACACAAGAACAAAAGCTGCGCATTTTCGACGGAAAATGTTTGATCTATAACCCAACGAATGCACTTCTCGATAGCAGTTGGACTTTGGAAGCTAAGATTCAATTGTGAAACAACCAAACCAATGTTTCTGTTTCTGGCTAAGTGCAACAGATAATTTAGCTGCGATAAAACCTTATCATTCTCATCATGGTTTCCACCAATCCATTCCTTCTAGTGAAAGAAATAATGGTATATTATACAATGTATACAACTATTAATATATCAATTTGGCCTATAATAGTTATAATAATATAGATGAAAAAATTACTCAATTCTGATTGGCTAATAGCAGTACAATTATTTTTGAAATTGCACATTGTGCAATTACTGCAGTGGAATTAACAAAACACGACCAGAGCCTGGAAACGAGGCAGGAAAAATCAACATAGGATTAGCAATGTAAATTTTCACTTTTTTGACGATTTTGCACACTTCCAATGGAACGTCGCACGTGAATATAACAATTTAAGTACAAGGAGCACATAAACTGAAAAGGTTTGCTAACAAGCAATGAAAATAAAGCTTAAATGGTGTAGGTGAGTGCACAGGTGTTATCGAAGCGCGTGTAAAATTTTCATGTATATTATTAACAAGTAATAGTATGGTTTCTCGTGCAATTTGGAAAAACATACACTCGTTTCAAATTGCACTTGTCCATCGGACTCGTGCAATTTTGATCGGCTTTGAAAAATTCACTCGTACATATTTTTTCCAAATTGCACTCGAAACCATACTATTACCTATACTAATTGACCATGGCGGATTTTAACACTTGTTTGTATCCATCGCTAACTTTCATCTACTGGTAAACAACCAGGCAACTTTTAACTACATGAAGATGTGGTTTTATACTGTGTTCCTAATTTATTTGGATCCTATGAACTGATAAGTGTCATTTTAAGTTTTGTGAAACTGACAACTCTTGTCATGTTTTTGTTCGAATTCAGTCGGAGAACTCGCGTCTCTTTGAACAAATTGCTAAGCCTTAAACTCGTAGTCAATCTGAATGAATTGTCTTTAGTTATCGCAAGAGAATATAATAGCGAATATGTTCTCTTGATTTCAGTTTGTATTTTAATATTTAAAACGTTTTTTAAAGTGGTTTGGTTTGGAGGTGTTTGTTTATACTGCACTATACACAATTCTGTATTTTGGCCATCTTTTAATATAAATGTGTACTTGGCAGTCACATAGTATATATTAATAAAGGCTTATAAATTTTAAAATATTCTTTGGGTTTTTAACATGTACTTATCTACTATTGATGTTTGTATGCTTTATTTATAAAATATATAAACGTTCAGATACAGCCATTACAAGTGTAGTGATATGAGGTTGTTATAAGCAGTCACACTTTGTAACCATGCAGTCACTATATACCGTGCGTCAATTTGAAATTCTTAGAAAATGCAACCTGTTTTAGCAATTACACACTGTCACTATTAACTCAATAATAACTCAAAGTAATTATCCTGCAGAGAATACTCCATTACTTAAAAATAATGATGATGATATGAATAAAAAAGATTTTAGGTCTGTAACAGTACTTCCGGTGTCCCAGGATTTTCGCCCCCCCCCCCACAATTTCGCCCCCGGGGGGCGAAATTCCTAAGAATATCGCCCCCCCCTGGGGGGCGAAAATCTTAGGAAATTCGCCCCCCTTTAGGAAATTCGCCCCCCTTTAGAAACTTCACATTTTCTTTAGGATTTTTGTCCTCCGTTCAAAATTTCGCCCTTCCTAACAGTTGCATGGGATAATTATTACATGGCTTTAGTCATTTGAAATCAGTATC